AAACATTACTTTGAGAACTTCTAGTTTAGAGATATTCAGAGTAAGCCACATACAACTTGCTACTTGATCTATTTTTTTTATTTTTTGTTTTAGGATATGGGTCTCACTCTGTCACCTAGGCTGGAGTGCAGTGGTGCAATCACAGGTCACTGCAGGCTTTCACTCCTGAGCTAAGGATCCTCCTGCCTCAGCCTCCTGAGTAGCTGGGACTGTAGCTATACATGATAACACCTGGTTAATTTTTAAATGTACTTGTACTTGTATGAGATTTCATGGGCCGTAAAAGTAGATACAGATGAAATCTGAAGCCTGACCTCTGAAATGCTCTGATATTTAGTGTTTGAAAAGATGAGGAGCAAATGGCAAAAAAAAATAAAAGTCTGTTAGAGCTGATACCTCGAATTATATAAACCATCATTGCTATACATTCATATACATTCACGATTTTGGTTTTTATTTTGAGATTTTGTCACTTACTCTTGGGGTTTCCACTTTCTGTTAAGAAAGTGCTTGCTTAGATGTCAGACAGAATTCTGTATGTCATAATATGATGTATTCCATGATACGATGATAAATATGGAATAAAATATCCCATTGTGGCATCTTGTGATACTACTGTAATACATTTCTGAACTATGACCTCTGAAAACATACATATGAAATCCATAACATGGTTATTTAAAAAAATCACAATTTAAAATCTTTTGGTGATCACTAATTACTAATATCCTACCCGTTTTTCACTCACCCTAACCAAACTACAGTTTTTCTATTTTGTTGCTTATGGTTAACAGTTATAGTACATTAAAATGATCAACCATCACTATTTCTTTTCTCTGCTAACCTATCTTTTTTTGTTTGTTTGTTTGAGATGGAGTCTTGCTCTAGGTTGGAGTGCAGTGGTGCGATCTTGGCTCACTCCAACCTCCCACTCCTCAGTTTAAGCAATTCTCTTGCCTCTGCCTCTCGAGTAGCTGGCATTACAGGCCACTGGCACAACCCCTGGCTAATGTTTTTGTATTTTTGCTAGCGATGGGGTTTCTCAATGTCGGCCAGGCTGGTGTCAAACTCCTGACCTCAGGTGATCCCTCACCTTGACCTCCCAAAGTGCTGGGCGTGAGCCACCATGTCTGGCCAATTTTTGTACTTTTCTGTAGAGACAAGGTCTTGCTTTGTTGCCCAGGCTCGTCTTTAACTCCTGGCCTCGAGCGAACTGCTACCTTGGCCTCCCAAAATGCTGGAATTACAGACATGGGCTACCATGCCTTGGGTCTCACTCCACCACTCAGGCTGGAGTGCAGTGGTGAGATCAAGGCTCACTACAACCTCAGCCTCCCAGGCCCAGGCGATCTTCCCACCTCAGCCTCCTGAGTAGCTGGGACACAGGGACATGCCACCGTGCTCTGCTAAATTTTTAAATTTTAATTTAATTAATTTATTTTTGGGGGGGTGATGGAGTCTCATTCTGTCACCCAGGCTAGAGTGCAGTGGTGTGGTGTGATCTCAGCTCACTGCAACCTCCATCCACCTTCTGGTTCAAGTGACTCTCCTGCCTCAGCCTCCTGAGTAGCTGGGATTATGGGTGCCTGACACCTGGCTAATTTATATAGTTTTAATAGAGGGTTTCACCATGTTGGCCAGGCTGGTCTTGAACTCCTGACGTCAAGTGATCCACCTGCTTTGGCCTCCCAAAGTGCTGGGATTACAGGCGTGAGCCACCACACCAGGCCTTTTTTTGTAGAGACAGGGGCTTCACTATGCTGCTCAGGCTAATCTCAAACTCCAGGGCTCAAGCCATCCTCCCCGCTGGGCCTCCCAAAGTGCTGGGATGACAGGTGTTAGCCCCCATGCCCATGATTGTCTTTCATGTGTGACCCCTTTTAATCCTCGCCACTATCTGATGAGGCTGGTAATGTTGTGATTCCTGTTTTACTGAGGCACGAGTCGCTCAGTGACTCGCCCAGGACCCTGTGGTTAGTTGGTGTCGAGGGTGAAGCTCCGTTCTAGGCTCTCTGGTTCACAGCCCCCGTGCCGTTCTCTAGACATCTCCCACACTTGCACCCTGAGCCTCGCCCATCGGAACCTGGCTGCTGGGAGAAGCTCCAGAAGGGCTAACTTGTGCTTCTTGGAATGTGCATCATGAGAATTTCCCCTCATAGTCTTGAGAATTGCCTTTCCTGCTTGGCTCTCCCTGCCTCAGTTTCTGCATCTGTAAAAGGAATCACAGCATTACCATCCTCATCAGACCATGGCGAGGATTAAAAGGGATGACACAGGAGAGACAGTCATGGGTGTGGGGGCTCACACCTGCCATCCCAGCACTTTGGGAGGCCCAGTGGGGAGGATGGCTTGAGTGCTGGAGTCTGAGATCAGCGGGGACAGCGTAGCGAAGCCCCTGCCTCTGCCCTGCTGGTGGGTCTCAGCCTCCTAAGAGGTCGCACAGCCTGCGTTGCCTTCCCCTCAGCTCTGCCGGCATCTGAGCAGGATGACTTCAGCTCTTCAGCTACGCGCTGGTACATCCCGAGCTCAGCAGCCAGTGAGCTCCCATGGAATTTTCTGTCAAACATCGGAGTGAAGCTTGTTGGTGTGAACGGAGACCACCAGCCACCAGGACCACTGGGATCCACAGGAGAGAAAATGGGGAGCTGCAGGGAGCAATGTTCCCCCCCGCTTTTTTTTTTTGAGACGGAGTCTTGCACTGTGGCCCAGGCACAATCTCAGCTCACTACAACCTCCACCTCCCGGGTTGAAGTGATTCTCCTGCCTCAGCCTTGCTAGTAGTGGGGATTACAGGCACCTGCCACCACGCCCAGCTAATTTTTGTATTTTTAGTAGAGATGGGGTTTTACCATGTTGGCCAGGCTGGTCTTGAACTCCTGACCTCAGGTGATCCACCTGTCTCAGCCTCCCAAAGTGCTGAGATAACAGGTGTGAGCCCCCGCACCTGGCCTGTTCTCACTCGTTTTTTATTTTTTATTTTTGCTTGGGACGGGGTCTTGCTGTGTTTCCCAGGCTGGAATGCAGTGATGTCATCTCGGCTTACTGTAACCTCTACCTCCTGGGTTCAAGCGATCCTCTCACCTCAGCCTCCTGAGTAGCTGCAACCACAGATGTGTGTCACCACCAGCTCTCACTGGCCAAATATGGAACAGTTTGAATATCGGTAAGGATACTACTACAGGGGACCAAAATGCAGAATGTATTTAAATCCCCAAACTCATCACTATGCTTAAAACAATTCAGAGCAGAAAAGTCTGAGTGCTGGGGCTCACACCTGTCATCCCAGCACTTTGAGAGGCTGAGGCGATAGGACTGCTTCAGGCCAGAAGCTTGAGATCAGCCTGAGTAACAAAGTGAAACCCTGTCTCCACACACATGAAGAAATACTTTTTATTTATTTATTTATTTATTTTTGAGATGGAGTCTCCCTCTGTCGCCCAGGCTGGCGTGCAGTGGTGCGATCTCAGCTCACTGCAACCTCCGCCTTCTGAGTTCAAGTGATTCTCCTGCCTCAGCCTCCCAAGTAGCTGGACTATAGGTGCCCACCACAATGCTGGCTAATTTTTGTATTTTTGTAGAGACGGAGTCTCACCATGTTGGTCAGTTTGAACATACCTCAGCCTCCTAAAGTGCTGGGATGACAGGCATGTGTCACCGCACCTGGTCAGAAATATTTTTCAATAAAAAGAAAATTTCACTGGTTGCCTTTCAAATGCACTAAGGAGCCCATTCATTTTTTTTCTTTTCAAATTGAAAATCAGCTGGGTGCAGTCAGGCTCAGTGGCTCACGCCTGCAATCCCAGCACTTTGGGAGGCTGAGGCAGCTGGATCACCTGAGGTCAGGAGTTTGAGACCAGCCTGGTCAACATGGTGAAACCCTATCTCTACTAAAAATACAAAAATAAGCCAGGTGTGGTGGTGCATGTCTCTAGTCCCAGCTACTCAGGAGGCTGAGGCAGGAGAATTGCTTGAACCTGGGAGGCAGAGGTTGCAGTGAGCTGAGACCATGCCATTGCACTCCAGCCTGGGTGACAGAGCAAGACTCTGTCTCAAAAGAAAAGAAAAGAAGCCAGGTGCAGTGGCTCACACCTGTAATTCCAGCACCTTGGAAGGCCAAGTAGGGAGGATCACTTGAGCCTAGGACTTTGAGACCAGCCTGGGCAACATGGCAAAACAAACAAACAAAAAAATCCAAATTACCAAAAAAAAACACAAAACCTTATCCAGTCATGGTGTTGTGACTGCTGTTGTTAAGGCTGCTGTGAGCAATGTGTGTGCCACTGCACTCCAGCCTGGGCAACAGATCAAAACTCTGTCTCAGAGTAAGTAAGTCAGGGGCCGAACATGGTGGCTCGTGCCTGTGATCCCAGCACTTTGAATTGCTGAAGCAGGAGGATCACCTGAGGCCAGGAGTTCAAAACCAGCCTGGGTAATATAGCAAGACCTTGTCTCTATAAAAAAATTAAAAATTAGCCATAGGGAGTCTCTCTGTCTTTCTCTCTCTCTCCTTAAGTTCCAGTTAGAGAACCACCATATTGGACATAGTTACCCCCAGGAAGAGGTGCCAGAATGGGGAGAGATGTTCATTTTTTTTTTTGAGACCGAGTCTTGTCTTTTGCCAGGCTGGAGTACAGTGGCAGGATCTCGGCTCACTGCAACCTCTGCCTCTTGGGTTCAAGCGATTCTCCTGCCTCAGCCTCCTGAGTAGCTGGGACTACAGGCACATGCCACCACACCTGGCTAATTTTTTTGTATTTCAGCAGAGATGGGGTTTCACCATGGCCAGGATGGTTTCGATCTCCTGACCTTATGATCCGCCTGCCTCGGCCTCCCAAAGTGCTAGGATTACAAGCATGAGCCACCGCTCCTGGCCCTCATTTTTAAATCTTATATACTTCTTGATTCTTCAAAATTGCTTTCACGGGCTCTTCTCACTTTTGTAATTTAGAGAATGTGCAAAACAGAAGATGCACATGAGACCTTTCCTTGCTTACTCCTAGAAAGAGAGGCATGGAATCAGCAGAGCCCTGGCTGCATGACAAGGAAGGTGATATGATCCTGCAGCCCTTATACAGCGTCCTGACCTGACGCCATGAGAAGCACACGCCGGCACCTGCCAAGATGCTCAACCTGAATCTAATCATGGGGAAACATTGGACGAACCCAGATGATGCAGGACATTCTCCATGACGGCTAGCCTGGAAGTCTAAGAAACAGCAGTGCTGTGAAAGACAGAAATAAAACAGGAAAAAGGTAGGAGGAGACTACCTTTGGTTAAAGGAGACTAAGGAGGTTTAGACAGATAGTAAGTGTGCTGTGAACCCTGTTTGGATTCCAGGTTAACAAAGACCGTATTTTGTTACAGTTATAATACAATATATGAAAAAAAGTTGTCTTTCTTTTCTTTTCCTTCCTTCCTTTTTTTTGGGGGAGGTGGGGATGGAGTCTCACTCTGTCACCCAGGCTGGAGTGCAGAGGCGCAATCTCAGCTTACTGCAACCTCTGCCACTGGGTTCAAGCAATTCTTCTTCCTCAGCCTCCCGAGTAGCTGGGACCACAGGCATGCACCACCATGCCCGGCTAATTTTTGTATTTTTTTAGTAGAGACGGGGTTTCACCATGTTGGCCAGGATGGTCTTGATCTCTTTTTTTTGAGTCGGAGTTTTGCTCTTGTTACCCAGGCTGGAGTGCAATGGCATGATCTCGGCTCACCGCAACCTCTACCTCCTGGGTTCAGGCAATTCTCCTGCCTCAGCCTCCTGAGTAGCTGGGATTATAGGTACACGCCACCATGCCCAGCTAATTTTTGTATTTTTAGTAGAAATGGGGTTTCATCATGTTGACCAGGATGGTCTCGATCTCTTGATCTCATGATCCACCCGCCTCGGCCTCCCAAAGTGCTGGGATTACAGGTGTGAGCCGAGGTGCCCGACCAAAAAACAGTTGTATTTCTATGCACTAGCAATGTCCAATCTGAAAATGAAATTAAGAAAGCAATCTCGGCCTGGTGTAGCAGCTCACACCTGTAATCCCAGCACTTTGGGAGGCTGAGGTGGGCGGATCACGAGGTCAAGAGATTGACGTTGCAATGAGCTGAGATTGCACTCCAGCCTGGTGACAGAATGAGACTTCATCTCGAAAGAAAGAAAAGAGAGAAAAGCAAGCAATCCCATTTACAATAGCACCAAAAAGAATATGTTACTTTGGAGTAAATGTAACCGAAGGAGTGCAAGATCTGTACACTGAAAACTACAAAATGGGTGGTGGTGTGGTGCTCACACCTGCAATCCCAGCACTTAGGGAGGCTGAGACAGGTGGATTTCCTGAGGTCAGGAGTTTGAGACCAGCCTGGCCAACGTGGTGAAGCCTTGTCTCTACTAAATATACAAAAACTAGGCTGGGCATAGTGGCTCACGCCTGCAATCCCAGCACTTTGGGAGGCCGAGGCAGGCAGATCATTTTAGGTAAGGAGTTCAAGACCAGCTTGACCTACATAGTGAAACCCCATCTCTACTAAAATACAAAAATTAGCCTGGCATGATGACAGGTGTCTGTAATCCTAGCTACTCGAGAGGCTGAAGCAGGAGAATCATTTGAATCTAGGAGGCAGAGGCTGAGGTGAGCCAAGATTGCCCCATTGCACTCCAGCCTGGGTGACAGAGTGAGACTCCCTCTAAAAAACAAAAAAACAAACAAAAAAACTAGCCAGGCATGGTGATGGGCACCTGGAATCCCAGCTACTCGGGAGGCTGAGGCAGGAGAAATGGCTTGAACCTGGGAGGTGGAGGTTGCAGTGAGCCGAGATTGTGCCATTGCACTCCAGCCTGGGTGGCAAGAGTGAAACTCTGTCTCAAAAAAAAAAAGAAAGAAAAGAAAATGACAAAATGTCATTGCATTGAAAGCAATCAGTAGGCCAGGTGGCTCATGCCTATAATCCCAGTGCTTTGACAGGTCAAGGCAGGAGGATTGCTGGAGCCCAGGAATTTGAGACCAACCTGGGCAACACAGGGAGACCCTGCCTCTACAAAACATTAAAACATTGGCTGACATGGTGGCACATGCCTGTAATCCCAGCTACTTAGGAGGCTGAGGTAGGAGGGACAGCTTGAGCTCAGGAGGTGGAGGCTTCAGTGAGCTGTGATGGCACCATTGCACTCCAGGCGGGGCAACAGAGCAAGACCTTATCACACACAAAAGAAGAGAAATTAACAAAGACCCAAATAAATGGAAACACTTCATCCCACTGTCACAAATTAGAAGACCTGATATTAGTTAGGTGGTAATACTCCTCAAATTGAACCAGAGATTCAAGGCAATTCCTATCAAAGGCTCATCTGATTTTTTTTTTTTTTTTGGTTATTGCAGAAATTGACAAGCTGATCCTAAAATTCAAATTTCAGAATTCTGTACAAAAACTAATTCAAAGTGGGTCAAAGTCCTAAATATAAGAGCTAAAACTATAAAACTCAGGAATACATAAGGTAAACCTTCATGGCCTTGGATTAGGCAGCAGTTTCTCTTCAAAAAACAAAACAAAACAACCAGTGAAAAATAGATAAGTCGTTCTCTATCAAAATTTGAAGCTTCTGTATAACAAAGGACACTATCAGAAAGCAAAAAACATAGAATAGGAGAAAATATTTGCAGATCATAGAACTGAAAGGGTCTAGCCAGGTGCAGTGGCTCACATTTGTAATCCCAGCACTTTGGGAGGCCGAGGTGGGCACATCACCCGAGGTCAGGTGTTGTGAACTGAACGCGAGCCCGGGAATCTCGTCCAGTGAGAGGGTTCCAAACCTGGAAGAGAGCGCGCGCCGGAAAAGAGATAGAAAAGGCGAGGTCTGGAGGGCTACATGCGCTATGCTCATGCAGCAATTTTATTTTTGCAATATGTTTCATTATATACTTGTCTGAAGTTAAAGTTGTTTATGCCAGATCAACGTACTTAAGTTACAGTAAGCAAGTTACGCCCACTAAGTTACGCCCAGTAAGTTAAGTCCAGTAAGTAGGTTACGCCCAGTAAGTAGGTTACTTCTAATAGGTCAAGGTAAGTAAGTTACAGTCATGCCCAGTAAGTTATGGTAAGTTAGTTACACCCAGTAAGTTACGATAAGTAAGTTACCAAGTGTAAATACTTAATATTTTACAATGAAGGTAACAAAGGGTCAAAAATGAACACAATCAAGCAATAAACTGTAAGAAGCCAAAAGTGGACACATTGCCTCCCAAGTCCTCATATCCATAAAGTAATGTCTGTTAATTATTTAGAATAACATAGTCCCTCTCTCGGTTCCTGCCTTCTCTCAGCTTGACTCCCCAACCGGGGATCTGTGTCCGGGCTCAAGCTCACCATATGGTGAGGCCCATTTCCTAGGGGCCTCACACGAGAGCGATCCCCACAGGTCTCCCTTAGTTCTCCCTTTTGTTTTTAGATGCAACTCAAAAAGCTTCAGCCGCAGTTGTTGAAGGGAGGAGAACACAAGGTGAAAGAGTACCGGGAGAAGGAAATTGTCATGAGTTCAAATTCCTTATAAATGGGCCTTAACAAGAGGCCACTGTCATTTAGTGTCATTATAAGGAATGAAAGGAGTTTGAGACCAGCCTGGCCAACATGGAGAAACCCCATCTCCACTAAAAATACAAAATTAGCCAGGCATAGTGGCAGGTGCCTGTAATCCTAGCTACTCAGGAGGCTGAGGCAGGAGAATCACTTGAACCCAGGAGGCAGAGGTTGCTGTGAGCTGAGATTGCTCCATTTTACTCTAGCCTGGGGAACAAGCGTGAAACTCCGTCTCAAAAAAAAAAAAAGGAGGGGGGTCCAATATCTAGAATATATGAAAACTCTTACAATTCAACAGTGGAAAGGCAAACAATGCAACTAAAAATCAGGTGAGGAATCTGAATAGACAGTTCTCTAAAGAAGGTATGTAAATGCGCAGTGACAATGTGACTGCCCGAGGGGTCCCCTGCCCACTGCCTCGACAGGGCGGATTCATCAAAACAGAGGACTGCAATAGAGACAGAGGAATTCATGTAGAGCAGCTGCACGGGAAACGAGTTTTATTATCACTCAGGTCAGTCTCTCTGAGCATTCAGGGAGCAGAGGGGTTTTTTGTTGTTCGTTTTGAGACAGAGTCTGGCTCTGTTGCCCAGGCTGTAGTGCAGTGGTGCAATCTCGGCTCACGGCATCCTCCGCCACCCGGGTTAAGTGATTCTTCTGCCTCAGCCTCCCTAGTAGCTGGGACTACAGGTGCCCACCACCATGCCTGTCTAATTTTCTTGTATTTTTAGTAGAGATGGGCTTTCACTCTGTTGGCTAGGCTGGTCTCAAACTCCTGACTTTGTAATCTGCCCACCTCAGCCTCCCAAAGTGCTGGATTACAGGTGCGAGCTATGGAGCCCTGCCAGAGGAGCAGAGTTTTTAAGGATAAGTTGGTAGGTGGGGGAAGCCAGTGAACTAGGGGTGCTGATTGGTCAAAGATGAAATCGTAGAAAGTCGGAGCTGTCTTCTGGTGCTCAGTCAGTTCCTGGGTCGGGGCCACAATAACAGTGAGCCATTTATCAATCTGGGGGCACCAGCTGATCCATCAAGTGCAGGGTCTGCAAAACATCCCAAGCCCTGATCTTAGGAGCAGTTTAGGGAGGGTCAGACTCCTGTGACCTCCAGCTGCAAGACTCCCAAACCATCATTTCTAATCTTGAGGCTAATGTTAGTCCTACCAAGGCCATCTAGTCCCCAGGCAGGGAGTTCTGCTGTGGGAAAGAGCTGTTACCATCTTTGTTTAAACTATAAACTAAGTCTCTCCCAAAGTGAATTTGGCCTAGGAATGTACAAGGACAGCTTGGAGGTTAGATCTTCCACCGTCTCAGTCATAATTTTGCAAAACTTTTGCAAACATGATTTTCGTATTTGCAGAACATGAAAATATGCTCATCATTAAGTACTAGGGAAAGGCAAACAAATTAAAACCATGATGAGTCGGTGTAGGGGCTCACGCCTATAATTCCAGCACTTTGGGAGGCTGAGATGGGAACACAGCTTGAGCCCAGAGTTCGAGACCAGCCCTGGCTACATAGTGAGATCTCGCCTCTGCCAAAAAATTAAAAAATGATTAGCTGAGTGTGGTGGATCCCGCCTGTGGACCTAGCTGCTCAGGAGGCTGAGGTGGGAGGATCACTTGAGTGTACTGGTGGTTGAGGCTGCAGTGATTGCAATTGTGCCACTGCATACCAGTCTGGGTGACAGAGCAAGAGCCTATCTCAAAAATAAAAAGAAACAAAACCAGAGAAACCACATAAGATACCACTTCACACCCACTAGACACAAAAAATGCACAAGAGCATGGGAAAGACTAGCAGCGGGAGCCTGCATACACTGGGAACGCGAAATGACGCAGACGCTTCAGGAGTGGTCGGGCTGTTCTCTGATAAGTGAAAGGGAGTTACCACGTGAGCCAGCAATTCCATTCCGAGGCATAAACAGAGAAAATGGAAAACATATGTCCACACAAAAACTTGTACAGTGGCTCACCCTGTAATCCTAGCACTCTGGGAGGCTGAGGCGGGCAGATCACCTGAGGTCAGGAGTTTGAGATCAGCCTGGCTAACATGGTGAAACCCCGTCTCTACTAAAAATATAAAAATTAGCCGGCTGTGCTGGCACGCACCTATAATCCCAGCTACCCGGGAGGCTGAGGCAGGTGAATCACTTGAACCTGGGAGGTGGAGGTTGCAGTGAGCTGAGATGCAGGCAGATGACTTCAGCCCAGAAGTTCAAGACCAGCCTGGGAAGCACGGTGGGACCCTGTCTCTACAACATTAGCCAGGCTTGGTGGCGTGCACCTGTAGTCCCAGCTACTCAGGAGGCTGAGGTGGGAGGATCCCTCAGGCCCAGGATGTGGAGGCTGCAGTGAGCCAAGATCGTGCCACTGCACTCCAGCCTGGAAGACAGAGCAAGACCCTGTCTCAAAAAAATAAACCAAAAAACAAAGTATAAACTTAATTTTCCAGGCCCTGGCACCTAGTAAGCGCTCAACAAATACTTGTTTTTATTTATTTATTTTTTTAAGACAGAGTTTCGATCTATCCCAGGCTGGAGTGCAGTGGAGCCATCTCAGCTCACTGCAACCTCCACCTCGAGGGTTCAAGCAATTATCCTGCCTCAGCCTTTGGAGTAGCTGGGATGTGTGTGCACCACCATGCCTGGCTATTTATATGTATATTTTTTTAGTAGAGACAGGGTTTCACCATATTGGCCAGGCTGTTCTTGAACTCCTGACCTCATGATCCACTGGCCTCAGCCTACCAGAGTGCTGGGATTACAAGCAGGAGCCACTGTGCCTGGCCAACAAATATTTATTGAGTAAAGAGAAGCCAGTGATAGATCTTACAAAGCTGCGGGACTGTGGAATCCAGCAGGCTGGGCATGGTGGTTCACACCTGTGATCCCAACACCTTGGGAGGCTGAGGCAGGAAGATCGCTTGAGTCCAGGATTTTAAGACCAGCCTGGCCAACATAAGGAGACCCTGTCTCTACCAAAAAAAAAAAAAAAAAAATAGCCAGGTGTGGTGGTGTGCACTTGTAGTCCTTAGCTACTTGGGAGACCGAGGTGGGAGGATGGCGTCAGTGCCTGAGGTCAAGGCTACAGTAAGCTGGGATGGCGCCACTGTACTCCAGCCTGGATGACAGAGTGAGACCCTGTCTCTCTTCTTATTTTATTATTTGAGATGGAGTCTTGGTCTGTCGCCCAGCCTGGAGTGCAGTGGTGCCATCTCTGCTCATGGCAACCTCTGCTTTCTGGGTTCAAGCAATTCTCCTGCATCAGCCTCCTGAATAGCTGGGACTACAGGCACCTGCCACCATGCCCGGCTAATTTTTGTATTTTTAGTAGAGACAGAGTTTCACCATGTTGGCCAGGCTGCAGGCTGGTCTCAAACTCCTGACCTCAGATGACCCACACCCACCTCAGTACCCCCAAGTGCCCAGATGACAGGTGTGAGCCACTGCGCCCACCCGACCTACCTTGTCTGTTAAAAAAAAAATCCAGCAGACCAGCTGTGTGACTTCTTCACAGTGTTGCTGTGAAGAATGAGGTAGATAATAAATGTATATCCACTAGAGGTGTGGACTCAATAAAAGCCACCCTACCCCTGTCCCCATGATGACCCCCAGCCAAGCCACAAAGCTGAACCATCCGCCAGCTGCAGCCCATGAAGCCCTCTCCTGGGATCTGTTTACAGAAGATGGATGGATGCTGGTGTTTCCAGCTATAGCAGTCCTTGTAGACAAAATCAGTAGTGTTGGTAACAATTTCCTTGGGCCAGAAGAGAATCATACCACAGCTTTAATTAAAGGACAGAGCTGCAACTATCCTCCCGGGGAACTTACACATTCAGAAATTGATGCTTATGGAAACCTAGCATTTTCCTTTTCTAGGCGCATTTAAATAAACACATGGAAACTGCTTCCAACGATATTGGAATGACCTGTTGCCTGGGGTCATCCATCACTGGGTGGCACTTCCTCTCTCAATCTGAAATCTTTACAAGGCCAAGATGTCTGTGGACTCTCTTTGATGGAGTCTCCGTGCACTGGCTGGTGATAGGCAGTAAGAGCTTCTCAGCCTTCTCAGTGGACGAAGGAGATTGTGATGACCTCTGGGGTATGGAGCAAAGGTGGGAGAAAGCAGGTTGAGAGACTGGGTGAAGAACTGAGAAATCACTCAAACTGGGGAATACTAAATTAGTGTTATTTCAGACATATCAGCGGAGTGCAGTGTAATCCCAGCACGCTAGGAGGCCAAGGCAGGCAGATCACCTGAGGTCAGGAGTTCAAGACCAGCCTGGCCGATGTGACGAAACCCCGTCTCTACTAAAATTATAAAAATTTGATGGGCATGGTGGTAGGTGCCTGTAATCCCAGCTACTCAGGAGGCTGAGGCACTCACTTGAACCCGGGAGGCAGAGGGTGCAGTGAGCCGAGTTGTGCCACTGCACTCCAGCCTGCAAGACAGAGTGAGACTGTCTCAAAAAAAAAAAAAAAAAATCTGGCTGGGCATGGTAGTTCATGCCTGTAATCCCAGCACTTTGGTAGGTTGAGGCAGGTGGATCACAAGGTCAAGAGATCGAGACCATCCTGGTCAACATGGTGAAACCCCATCTCTACTAAAAATACAAAAAATTAGCTGGGCATGGTGGCGAGTGCCTGTAATCCTAGCTACTCAGGAGGCTCAGGCAGGAGAATTGCCTGAAACGAGGAGGCAGAGGTTGCGGTGAGCTGAGATCGCGCCATTGCACTCTAGCCTGGGTAACAAGAGGGAAACTCTGTCTCAAAAAAAAAAAATTAGTCGGGTGTGGTGGCACATGTCTGTAGTCCCAGCTACTTGGGAGCCTGAGGCAGAAGAATCACTTGAACCCAGCAGGTGGAGGTTGCAGTGAGCTGAGATCATGCCATTGCACTCCAGCCTGGGCTACAAAGTAAGACTCTGTTTCAAAAAATAATAATAAAAATCCATTCCTCTGTAGCAGTCTGGCATGAAGACAAACACTGATGACTCATGCCTGCACACAACAAATTTAAAACAAAACAGGGAAGAGGGATATTAGTAAAATGAGTCAACACAGACTTTGGCAAGAAAGGAAATTCTTTCTTGAAGTTGACATGTGAGAAGCATGTGTGCCCCTCAGCAGTGATTCAGGACAGGAGAAGCCCAGCAGGTGGGGGGTTGTTTATCTGCCTGCTCTTCATTCATGTATCCACTTTTTCCTTTACAATTTTCAGTCAGCTCCATATCAGCTCTGCAAGAAGGAGCAGGAACACAAAAATGAAAAAAGACACAGTCTTTGCCCTTCAGGGGTACTTAGAGTAGGGTAGACACACAGTTTCACTAGGAACTCTAATGTAGGGGGGTCTGATGTGGTGGCTCACGCCTGCAATCCCAGCACAGTGAGAGGCCAGGGCAGGATGATTGCTGGAGCCCAGGAGTTCCATGCTAGCCTGGGCAACACAGTGAGACCCCCCATCCCTACGAAAAATACAAACATTGGCCACGCATGGTGGCACATGCCTGTGGTCCCAGCTACTCCGAAGGCTGAGGAGGGAGGATGGCTTGAGCCCAGGAGGTCGAGGCTGCAGTAAGTGTGATTGTGCCACTTCCCTGCAGGTGGAACAGCCCCAGTGGCTCATGCTCCAGTGGTTCATACCATAGTAGCTCCTGCTCCAGTGGCTCATGCTCCAGTGGCTCGCACTCCAGAGGCTCATACTCCAGTGGCTCACACTCCAGTGGTTCATGCTCCAGTGGCTCCTGCTCCAGTGACTCATCCCAGCACTTTGGGAGGCAGAGGTGAGTGGATTACTTGAGCCCAGGAGTTCAAGATGAGCCTGGACCACATGAGATGATGGGGGCAACAGCAGTGACCACAACTTTGAGATAGTGCATTTGTTTTTTGTATTTTTTGAGATGGGGGTCTCAGTCTGTCACCCAGGTTGGAGTGCAGTGGCGCCATCTCAGCCCATTGCAATCTTGGCCTCTTGAGTTTCAGTGATTCTTCTGTCTCAGCCTCCCCCCGAGAGTAGCCCGGATTATAGGAGCCCGCCACCACACCTGGCTAATTTTTGTATTTTTAGTAGAGATGGGTTTTCATCATGTCGGCCAGGCTGGTCTTGAACTCCTGACCTCGGGTGATCCACCCGCCTCGTCCTCCCAAAGTGCTGGTATGACAGGCATGAGCCACCATGCCTGGCCGGGCCGAGGTGGTGGATCTGCAAGAGAAACTCGATTCACTTGTTCATGGCTCCCTGCCGGTTCAGGACATGGATGATGTGGAGAAGCTGGTGCCTCTCTATAGGAAAAAAACCCAAAAAAGTAGAACAATGGCCAACAAAGTTAAAGGATCACGAGATCCAGTGCTGAGACAAGGCAGAGGAGGGGCTGAAATGGCCGTCAGAGGGGAGAGCCCCAGGCAGCAGGGACTTTTGCAAGTGTGTAGGGAGAAATTAGAAGTTCCAATGAAGAAAAAAAGTGTGAGGTCTTTGGGGCCAGCTTTCAGCTGGTCTAAAGCTGAATTATAGGAAGAAGGTGAGGGAGGCAGAGACCAAGTGTGGGAGGACCTCCTGTGTCATGCCAGCAGTCTGGACTCCACCCCGTAGCTGACAGGGAGCCAGAAAAGGGCTTGGAGCAAACACGTGGCACATTTGTGGGTAAGGCACGTCTTCCTTGTGGCCTTGAGGGATGGACTGAAGGGGGTGGAAAGTGGGAGCAGGACAGCCTCTTCAATGGTCAGGTGAGAGGTGGATGGGTGGCAGGGGCTGCGGAGAAGGTGGCTAAGTTGAGCTCCAGTCCCCAAAGGGTGCTGTGGGGCAGAGGAACTTCCAGCTAACAAGTCACTTAGCTTCTTAGATCAGTTTCCTCATCCTTCAAATGAAGGAAACATGAATCATTGATAAGATGTCCCCTCTTTCCAAAAGCGTGAAATGATTATCAGGCCTCTTTCCACAGGCAGTGGGACCTCACCTCAACCCTGGAAAAGAACTGGGAAGTGTTTTTCAGCCAGGTGCGGAGGGAGGGCCACATGGGCCTCCCAACCCATCCCCAGGGCCCCTCTCCAGCTCCTCTTTCTGGTCCTCCCCAGGGGAAGGTGCAGGCTGAAAAGAGAAGAGGGAGTAGAAGGTCCTCATAGACACACAGCCCCCTGGGGCCCCACCAGTCCGAGGCCCCTGCAGCCCCGTGGGACTCGGTCACCGCCGGACCCGAGAGTACAGCTTCGAGGCCCTGGCGCCTCCGGCACCGCTGCTTAGAGCTGTCACCCTTGACTGTTTTTCCCCTGGAAAAGCTTTAGTGAGAAGAGGAGAGAAGGCTGACTGGGGCCAACAAAAAACACAAAACCCCGAAGCGTTTTCTCCGGATTCGGATTAAACTGCTCGGAGAGTAGTTAAGTTACTTCAAGGCATGATCAACCACTGTGCTCCAGCCTGGACCATAAGAGCGAGGCCTTGCCTCAAAACACAAAATCAATCATCAACCCGCGCAGGACGACCAGCCACGTCGCCTTCGGTCCCTACGTCTTCCTCCCACCCAGCAGGCGATGCCCTGCTCGGTTGCAGGGATCGGGGCGGCCAGAGGTCCTAGGTGGACGTAGGTTGGGGTGGTCAGGGGTCGGGGTGGGCGGGCAGCAGGGCGGGCAGGGGGTCCTGTGTGGACATGGGTTGGGGTGGACACGGGCCCGGGATGGACATGGGTCGGGGTAGACATGGGCCGGGGGTGGACATGGGTCGGGGCGGGCAGCGCAAGGCGGTGGGGGAGGGGGGAAGGTGTGACTCGAGGCGGCCCCACAGCTCCGCCTACCCCGCCCCCCAACCTCCGCCCCGTCGCGGCTCCGAGTCGGGAGCTGGCAGGGAATGCCCGGGGCGGGTCTTGGTTCCCCAGGCGCCCGCCCCCGCCGCGGGGAGCCGCTAACGTCAAGGAGGCGAAACCCAGAAGCGGCCGCAGCAGACGAAGAAGGGAACCGGCGCGAGGGCGGAAGGAACTCGGTTTCTCTTTCTCCCGGGTCTCTCGGGCCGGGGACCGCGGGCGGAACATGTGGGACCCGCGCGCGTTCGAGCGGCTGTGGCGGGCCGAGTTCCCCGGGGCGGAGGCGCCGGCGCTGCGGCTGGAGACAGCGCGGGACGTAGAGCTGGAGCTGGAGCGCTGCAGCCTCAACCTGGCGCGGCTGCAACAGGTGCTGGCCCAGGAGCGCTTCAAGGCCTCGCACCTGCGCGCATTGCTGGCCGGGGAGGGGCGCGCGGGGGCCGGAGATCCCCGGGAACCCCGGGACCCCGAGGCCGCAGTCCCCCGCGCGGGAAGGAGCTGGGCTGCCGCCGTCCACCAGCAGCTGCTGCAGCCGCTGCTGCGGTTCCGCGCCCAGGAGGACGAGGCGGGCGCCGGCGGCGACTCGGAGACGCTGGATCCGAACGAGAAGTTCGCGCTCGGCCCCTGGCTGGCGGCCCCTTGCGGGTTCCGGATGCGCTGTGAGGAGGCGGAGGAGAGGCCGGGGCGCGAGAGCAGCCCCCACCGCGGGACGCCCCCGGCCCCCGGGGGGCCGAGACCCCAGCGCGGGAGCCCCGATCTGGAGCAGCTGGAGGCCGAGGCGGAGGAGCCTCCCAGGCTCGGGGCCCGCGACCACCTGCCCTCGTGGAGACGTCGGAGGTTCCTGCTGGCGCCCGAGCTGGACTCGCCGGCCCACAGCTCCCCGGAGAGGGACAGCAACGACAGCCGTCACAGCTCCGACCGCGAGGACGGCTTCTCCGCAGGTGGGCGCCCCGTCAGATCTCCCAGACCCCTCGCGCGCCCCTCTCTAGACCCGCCGCGCCCCCCACCCCACCCCCTGGGCCGCTGATGCCCTTCCCTGGCAGACTTCGTGGCCCTGTTTAACCTCAAGAAAGGGGCTGGGACGAAGGGGAAGGTGGATGAGATGCTCCTGTTTACCCCAAAGCCACTTGTGGAACTTGGAAAAAATGTGTGCAGCGATGGTCAAGTGCGGGTGACTGTGGAAATTAGCCTCGCGTCGGCGGCAGGGGCGATGAAATGGGGCGTGGGACCAGCCCTTGGGAGGAACCGTCGCCCAGGCTGCGGCACTTCGGCTCTGGGCGCTACAACATTCGCCTTGTCCCTGCAGCCAGCCCCCAGTCCGGACACCCCCGTCCCTGCAGCCCGCCCCGCCCCCCGGTCCGGACACCCCGGTCCCTGCAGCCCGCGTGTCCCAGTCCGGACACCCCAGTCCCTGCAGCCCACCCCACCGGGCCCCGCGGTCCAGATCCCTCCCAGCTGCCCTGACTGTGGATCCTTTTCTGCACACGCGCCAGCGGCTTCCCACTTGCCGACACTCCTGACTCTGAGCTCCGGTTTCCCGCCTGTGGAAGCCGAACTCTTCCCCTCGGGTTTCTGAACCTGTGCCTCATCTTCTCCAGGCTGCTCTGTTCGTGGGAAGCTTCAGGGAAGTTCCCTGACCCTCGCCAGCCCCTCTTGGCTGACGCGTTGTCTTAGGAGGCTGCGCGGCCTGTCGGCTTTCTAGGAGCCTGGGAGCGTGAGAGGAAGGGGAAGGGTTGGAACCGTCTAGTTTCCAGCTCACCCAGCTCCGGGAGATCGTGTCTAGTGCCCGCATTTGATAAAAGAGGAAACTGAGGCTCAGGAGGATGACTTGCTGGCTGGGGTGAGCTAAGACCTTCCCCGGGCCTCCTGCCACATCTGCTCTCTCTTCTGAGGACAGGGCCTGGTTTCAGTCGTCTTTGAACCCCCTTCTGGTCGCACTCGCGGGGCCTTGCAACAGCGAAAGCTCAGCGAGTAATGACTGATGGCAGGGAACTGAGCGCCCGGCGGGCTCTTCGTAGGTCAGGGAGTGGGAATGGGACCGAGGAGCAAAGTCAGGCGGGATGTGGGGTGGCGTGACTGCCTCTTGCTGCATCTGGGAACGGTCAGAGTCTCAGCCACGCAGAAGGCAGGACACTGGTGGCGTCTGGTTGGGTCAAGCTGCAGGAATTTAAGATGTCTTCCTTCTCAGTGAAGGAGGAGAAAAAAATCACTGATGCTGGGATTGTTCCAAAATCTCCGTTATTAGATTTTATCTGGGCGAGTTTGCATTCGAATGAAAAACCGTCCACTTTGCTAAAAGCGCATTTGGAAGGCCCATCGAGTCATCTGTTTTGATCAGTTACACTCTAGAGAGGCCCAGAAGCAGAGGTGAAAAGGGCCATTTTCTTCTAGATGAGGGCATGCTAGCAACATCAGAGTGTAAATAAATCAGTCTGCAGGCCAGGCGTGGTGGCTCACGCCTGTAATCCCAGCACTTTGGGAGGCTGAGGTGGGCGAATCATGAGGTCAAGAGATCGAGACCATCCTGGCCAACATGGTGAAACCCCATCTCTACTAAAAATACAAAAATTAGCTTGGCATGGTGGCGCATGCCTGTAGTCCCAGCTACTCAGGAGGCTGAGGCAGGATAATTGCTTGAACCCGGGAGGTGGAGGTTTCAGTGAGCCGAGATCACGCCACTGTACTCTAGCCTGACACCTGGCGACAGAGCAAGACTGTCTAAAAAAAAAAAAAAAAGTTACTCTGCCAATTCGCCCAGTATCTTCCTTTCAGCACCTGTAACCTTGATTGGTACCAGAAAAGACAAAGACCAGCCCGTGCTGGCCTGGTGAGGAGTGGGGGACGGCAGAGAGGAGTCGGCTGTGTTTGGTGGTGCCTTGTGCTGGCCTGCCGAGGAGTAGGGGATGGGCCTCCCGAGGAGTAGGGGATGGGCAGAGTGGAATCGGCTGTGTTGGGTGCAGCCTGTGCTGAGAGGCCAGGCCTGTGTCAATGACCTGGCCCTGCCCCTCCCCAGGTGTGAGACCATGGGAAAGCCACTGACCCTTCCAAGCCGCAGTCTGTCTGTCCGATGGGAATCATGGAAATAGCCAGCACCTCAGCGGCTGACTCTTGCCAGCTCCTGTTCTGAGCACTTTATACACTTTAATTCATTTATACCACACAACACTGTCATGAGATGGGCACTGAGAGGTTCGGCTCTATGGCCCCACCCACATCTCGTCTGGAATTGTACTCTCCTCGAGTGGAGGGCGGGAGGGCGGGATGTTGGGGGTGATTGGGTCACAGGGGCAGTTCCCCCAGCTGTTCTCATGGTAGTGACTGAGTTCTCATGAGATCTGCTGGTTTCAGAGTGTTTGGGGATTTCCCCCGCTCCCAGCTCGTTCTCTCTCCTGCCCCCTTCCAAAGAAGGTAGTTGCTGCTTCTCCACTTTCTGCTGTGATTTTAAGTTTCCTGAGGCCTCCCCAGCCATGGGGAGCTGTGAGTTGATGAAACCTCTTTTACTGATAAATTACCCAGCCTCGGGTAGTTCTTTATAGCAGTGTGAAAATGGACTAATACGGGTTACTGTTATTATTTCCATTCTGCCTGAGAATCACAAGGCCTGCCCGTGGTCATCCAGCTTATAAGTAGCACTTAGGATTTGGACCCAGGCAGTCTGACTTCCAACTCCATGCTTCAAACACCAAGCTGTGCGGCCTCAAATATTAGCACCTACCTCTTAGGATAGTTAGGAAGATTAAATGCCAGAGAATATTTGAAGAGTTTAGCAGAACACCTGGTGCATGGTGACCATGGAGGGTGTTCGTGTCTGTGTGTGAGTGTGTGTGTGGGGGGTTGTTGTTTTTTGTTTGTTTGTTTGAGACAGAGTCTCACTCTGTCGCCCAGGCTGGAGTGCAGTGGTGCAATCCTGGCTCACTGCAACCTTCGCTTCCCAGGTTCAAACGATTCTCCTGCCTCAGCCTTCTGAGTATGTGGGATTACAGGTGTGTGCCACCACACATGGCTAATATTTGTATTTTTAGTAGAGACAGGTTTCACCATGTTGGTCAGGCTGGTCTCGAACTCCTGACCTCAGGTGATCTGCCCACCTTGGCCTCCCAAAGTACTGGGGTTACAGGCGTGAGCCACTGCTCCCGACTTGTTTTCCTCTATATCACTAAAGTCCCTAGGAGACCCCAGACCATCTGCTGCTCATGTCAGCCACCAGGGCTGCTGCCCACTCATCCGGCTCCTTCCTGGGCAGACATGGCCTTGCAGGTGAGCAGACTGTCTGCTGGTTTCCAGGCCTCCTCTCCTTGGCTGTGCACTCTTGGGCAGACTCAGCTGCAAGCCTGCATTTGGAGACCCTAGCGTTTCCCTGCATGCTGGCAGGCTTCTCTGTTACCGCTGTAAGCCAGCACATGCAGGAGCTGGGTGATACATCTTTTTGGGGGTTTATGCATCCTTTCTGCTGCCTCTGGCATTTCCTGTGCATTTGGACTCTAAACAAATTGCATTCTTCTAGCAAAGCCCAAAGGTGCTTTTCAGTCGCATCTTTTTGACTGGCAGTGTCAGATGATAAAGTAAACATTGTTAATATTTTAAACTGGTGTCTTTTTCTCCATGTGTTAAACTTTGCTTATGGAGACAAGTGTTTTCTGTTTTTGCTGGCCCTTGGAATTCATCCATCCGTTTAACCATCCATCCATCCATCCATCCATCCATCCACCCACCCACCTACCCGTCTGTCCATCTGTCCATCCATTCATCCATCCATCTACCCACCCACCTACCCACTCATCTGTCCATCCATTCATCCATCTATCCATCCATCCATCCATCCTCCCACCCACCCATCTGTCCGTTGATCCATCCATCCACCCACGCACCCATCCACCTGCCCATCTGTCTGTCTGTCCATCCATCCATCCACCCACCCACCTGCCCATCTGTCCATCCATCCATCCATCCACCTACCCAGCTACCCACTTGCCTGTCTGTCAGTCCATCCATCCATCCATCCATCCATCCACCCACCCACCTGCCCGTCTGTTCGTCCATCCATCCATCCCACTCAACAAGCATTTGTCAAGGTCTTAACTTCTTGCCAGGCCTAAGTTAAGAGATGAGACTGCACAGGTTGGTGACCTACCTTCAAGAATCTCACTAGTGGCCGGGCGTAGTGGCTCATGCTGTAATCCCAGCGCTTTGGGAGGCTGAG